TCCACTCTGCAAAAGCAGAATTTGCTCATTACTGTGAAAAGAAAAGATCAAAGTTCACATTAAGCTTTCTGCATCACACCCGAGCGGGCTGTGTCTTAATTGTGCCTCTTGTGCTCAGTGATGCTCAGCCAGGCAAAAAGGAGCCTATTGCAAGCAAGCATGATGGGGGGAGAAGAAAATTTTTAAGGTATTAGTTAATGTTAAAAAGAGATTCCACCACCTGAATAACTCACCCACCCCTGTTGAGTTATTTTAACAGGGTGGCTTTTATAATTGAAAAACAGATGGGCAGTGAACAAGGCTGAACACTTTCTGTAGCAGAAAATGGACACACAGATATATAGCTGGCATGAGAATGAAGAGGCAGAAAAGCTCACTTGCTTAACTTCTGTAATTCAGAAGAAAATACGAAGATCAAACTAGTGAATATCTTGACAGACCTAATTCCAGAGACCAGTCTTGTCCCAAGAAGATGTAAGGGCCAAATCACATGTTACAGCGAATAATTAGTTCCACCTTTTACATTGTCTCCCCACTGGGCTTCCAAATCTCTCAGATGAATGTTCACGAGATGTTGGGCATGGAATTAAACCCATGCTGTCTTGCAGCAAACCGACCAATTGCAAATTAATAGAAAATTAATGTTCCAAATGTGGCCTGAAATAAGCGCAAAGGAGGAAAACAAACAGACCGGCATTTCCTCTGAAGGGTGCACAGCTTCTACGCACAGAATTAGCATCTTGTTTGGTGAGTTAGAAGAATAACATACGTCGCACAGGCGTCTCTCCCTCCTATGATTACGGGTTCTGTTTTTCCTGCATCATCAACTTGATATTTTGTTTTGCGGTTCTGCTGTGAAAGTATCTTTACCAGTTTGCCTAATTCATTTTAAAGTTTGACAACTTTAAAAAGAATCAGCTCAGCTCGGTTTCTTAATAAGAATTTCAAATGCCCATATTTCGCCAGTCTTTTTGACATCACGTCTTGACACCTGGAAGTGTAAGTAGTGTTACTTAGCTTAATCTTTTGTGGACTTCACCCTACTTGATTAGATTCACCTGATGCCTTGGATGAACTGGCCTGCAGTCCATGAAAATTTATACCAACTAAAACTCCTTATTCATTAAGATGCCCCACAAGACTGGTTTTGGTTCTCTTAAGTGATGTATATCAGTGGTCCCCAACCTTTTTGGGACTGCAGACTGGCTGAGCCTCTGAGGAAGGCGGGGCACCCCTCCCACGTGTGGGTGCGCATAGGCTCTTGGGCACATGTACACAGAGGTGGGGGAGCGCTCACGCCAGCGCTGGCACATGTGCATGCATGCACAAAGCAGCTATGGGGAGGGGAGTGTGTGCGGGGAGGGGGAGAAGATCTGTCTCTGCGGGCCAGTCTGGCTCAGGCCACAGACTGGGGGTTGACAACCTCTGATGTATATGACAAGGTACTTTTGCCTTTAGCACTTTTTCTCCCCAGGATTCCTTATCAGCAGACCTAGCAACCCTCCAGGGCATAATCACATTCTTTCGCTGTGCATGCCACTTGTATAATGTGCATAATGTGTCTTCTGGAACACCACAAGTGGCTGGGGTGGGGGGGAAACGTCTCTTAAAAACTTCTCGTATTGCATTTGCATCACAAGGGCACTAGGTGACACTGTGGAGCAGTATTTGTGTGAGAGGGAGAGTTGTGAGGTTTGAAGCACTGCAAGGATCTATACTGGAGACAGCTGTCTCCTATTGTGAGCGTGGACATTCGAAGCAAAAGCTTTGGTATCTGAAACATGAGTTACAGAACTGCATTCTCCTATGGAATTTTGTTGGTGACTATGAACTGTATCTGATAAAGATTTTTTTAAAAAAATTGTCCATTCCTTTTGTTTTCTTAAATCAGGGCTTCCTGTTGGTATGGCTGCTCCTCTACCCCTTTTTGGGTTTTAACCCTAAGTATGACCCATGTGGTGTCATCTGCCTTCTTTCTTGGCTCCTCTTAAGTTGGTCCTCCTCAACCTGGCATCCACAACATGATTTGTTTGTGTATTATTTTTGTTTTGTGTCTTTCCTCCACAGAGTTCAAGGCGGTTTACATGGCTACCCCCCCCCGGTCACTGCACAACAGTACGGGAGGTTACTCAGTCAGACTCAGTGTGGCTAGCCAGAGATATGTGTGTGTGGCTAAGTGATGATTTGAATTCAGGTCACCTGAGTTTCAGTGCAGCACTATAACCACTACAGAACACTATCTTTCTATGTAATATACAGTACCTATTTGGCCAGTCAGCATGACTGATGGTCAAGAACAGTGGGAGCTGGAATCCAAAAACACCCAAAGGGGGCAGGAGGTTGGTGCCCCTCCCCCCACTACACACAGGAACACAGAGAAAGTCTGCCCCTATCTAACGTGGGCCCAGAGAAGGGCTTGTGTTTTGCTGTTGTCATTCCCACCTGTTCTCTTCTGGCCATGCAGGCAGGCCATGAGTAGTTAGAGAAGCTCCTGTTCTTTACAGGCGTTTCTCTTAAGTCGTCATATGAGATGGATGATGGGAATTGTGTTTCCCCCTTCCTTCCTTATGGGGTGTGTGGGTTTGTGTTCACAGCCATTCTGAGAAGCCAGGCGGCGGTTTGAGCTTGCAAATTGTGGGTGCAGCCTCTCCAGTCGTTTGGCACAAGCTATGAATCTGGCACAGCTGCTGGAAGACGGGGCTCTGCTTTCTGGTGGACCTCTAGGCATGACAAAAAGAGCAGGCTGTTATACCATCCCACCACCCAGAACATCCCAGCCTCATCTCATTTTGGAAGCCAAGCAGGGTCAATACTAGTTAGTGCTGAGACAGGAGATTGCTAGAGTATACCAGCATCTCCAGGAAGAACTAGGAAAGAGTCCTACATGAAGCCAGCATTGACAACACTGGACTAGTTGGACTAAGAATCCAAAATGTGACTATACAACGAGAGAAATGTGCATTCGCTCACAGTGAAGTCACACCAGAGAATGTGAGTCTGGCCTGAGGCAAGGTGCTTGGTGTGTATGGATTCACCTCATCCCTCCTTTCTGAATTGCATCAAAGCAATCGTGTGCTTTGAACTGATGCAAATGGATTCAACTTTTTTAAAAAACAGAAGGGTCTCTAGTGAGGAAAATCTATGGATTGGGAATGAAGGACTGTGGGATGATTCACATTTCTTGTTGCACCATGTGTTCAGGGGCGGGGGGATGAATTAGCCTGCACCAAACCCATAGCATTTCCTATATTTTTGTTTTTAATATGGTTACTCCCTCAGTCTAAGGCAGATCTCTTTGCTCCTAGACTTCGTTCCAAAGGAAGACAGAATGGGTTTCTTCAAATAATAATTTTTAAAAGGGCCTTCCTTTGCTTCCCTTAAATAAACAGAGCCAGTTCATTTGTATTCCCCTCACCACATTTTTCCTGCTCATGAAAGAGGTCTTCTCGCAGGAAAATTCAGTGTAATGCCAAAGAAAGGAACTGAAGGAAACTCACCAGTTCAACTACAGGCACTCCTCACTTACAACAGAGCTCCATTCCTACAACTACTGTAGGTAGTTAAACAAAAATTAATAGAAGACCCTGTTTTATTTTTCGGGGAAACACGGTAGATATGATATATGGATTGCTGATGGCAGGGTTAGGATCAAAAATAAAGACCATATCTACATACGTTTCTACTTAGATCAAGAAATCCTTCCCCTTTGAGAGCTGTCATACACCTTTCTGGCCAAGTGGTAGGTGATGCATTCCTTTTGTCATGTTCAATGGGGCGCCTATTTAGTTTGGGGAAAGCAGTCTCCAGTAGTGCCAACTAGCCACTACCATCGTAGTTGCAGATTCCAAATGAGAAAAAAAATGGGGGAAGAATAAAAGAGAGGAAAGGAGAGGGGGGAAGGGAAAAAGGGAGAAAGGAGTAATGTTAAAAAAAACCCCACAATTCACTTCCCGACCCTCTGCATATGGTCAGGAGAAGTGCTTAATTGACAGCTGATTGGACTACAAGGGGTCATTGCTGTTTGGAGGGGAGGAGCATAACCTTTGACCTCAACAGACCTTTGTAGCCTGATCCATCCCACACCCAAAACAGCTTTATCCCGCTTTATCAACTGTGAACTGCCCCATGCAAGATTCATTAGCAGACGACTTCTATCTCACTCCGGTCTGGCTATGATCTCGACCTACAAGATGAAAGAAGAGAGTCCTGAAGGAAGTGTTTCCTCATTTACCCACACTGTTGTGCTGAGGGGTGAAAAAATTCAAAAGGCAATTCAGGAAAGGATGGGAAAAAATGGCTGAACTAGGAACTAAACAGAATACCCACAGAAAAGACATGTCTGGCCTCTTGGCCAATTGGTAACAGGGCAGCCTTATGATGAAGTATATTCCCTTATAATGAAGTATAATCTGAAGATGCTCGTAAGAAATCTGTATTGGACATTTTGGTGAACTTTATTTGGTGCTTCAAACCACATTAAGCAAGGAAGATATAGAGGGCACTGGATTATCTATAGAGCATGCTAGGGCTAGTGCTTAGGCCCCCACAGGATGTTACAGAGTCAGCCCAGCTGACAAAATAGATCCAGGGACATGTAGCTGAAAAAGTGGGAAAATGGGGAGTGATATATTTTGTTCATTCCATCTGGAGTGAGAATGAAAGGTCACATTGTGGGAACCCCTATGATTGAGATTCCTTGCAGAATAACAATGAACAATGACTTTTTCCTCCCTTAAGCTGGCAGGAAAGCTCAATGAGTTAGATATCCAACAGCAGAGCCAGAGGTTTGCAGTTCAGTTTCCCCAAAACAGTCAGCCTGTGTGGCCTTGGGCTAACTGCACAGACCCAGGGCACCCCCAGAAGAAGGGAATGGTAGCTAGAAAACCCTGAAAAGGGTTGCTATCAGTCAGAATTGACTTGATGGTTCACAATTATTATAAATCTTCCCTCATGTTTAATGGAGGAAAAAAATAGTCCAAGAGACCCTAATTATCTTCACCACCAAGAATACAGCATATTTATTGCCAAGACAAACAACACAAGTGTAAACACTTTTTTTGGCAACATTCACAAATTTGTTTAATTTGTTTTTCCCTCCTTGCTTTCTTTAAATTATTTGTGTAAGAATTGGTTGTGTATTACTTTACAGTAGATGCAATAACTAATCATCGATACACAAGCCAATGGTGTATTTTTTAAAGGTGAATCATACAATAGCTTGGAGCTGCAGTGACGCAAAGAGAATTGTTGCTGTTAGTTCATGGAGAGACCATCTTCAGGTAGAATGTTGCTGCTGTCAGCCGCTGTCTTCAAAGCTGCCACTATTGCTGCAGGAATGAAACCGCATTGTACTCATGGGATCCGACACGTAACCTGTGGAAAGTGAAGAGAAGCTTAAAGGGGGAGGGGGGTTGTCGGCTAGTCACAAATGCCATCCAACATCTTTCTCCTCTGCTCCTCTCCCATTGAGTCTCAACATTTAGAAAGATAATATGGATGTGCTTTCTATGTAAATATGTTGTAAGTAAATAAGCAATACATAGATTAGCTACCAAACAAATGTGTTTCAGGGAAATCTCTTCCTCCATCCAACATCCATGTTTAGGGTCCTCCATTGAAGGAAAAATGCAACAGATAAAATGTGAAATACAGGCATATGCCCATTCACCCTATAATCACAATAGCCTTTTAAACCAAGGATAGAAAACCTCAACCTAGGTATTTTAATACAGTCACATTTCTATTTGCTTTTAAAATACACCTATTTTGACCTTGAATGGCAGATCCAACAGTCAACAATAAGCAGCCTGCCAGAAATAATTATGCCCTTAATCTTGGATAATTATCATGACAATAGCTGCTATTGGTAGCACTAGGTTGTCTATTAAGGACTGGCATTATTTCTTTACCATAGGGGTCACTGGTGAAATGTGATTGCTACTATTATTATTCCTTTGCAATATTTGCTAGCTTAACCTAGACACTGAATCCCCCAGTGTCAAGACAATAACATATACTGAAAGTACTAACAAAAGGCAAAACAAACAAACACACACACACACACAGAGAGAGAGAGAGAGAGAGAGTGAGAGAGAGAGAGAGAGAGAAAACAAAACAAAAAACCTTAGGAGCAAAAACTGTACTTTCGAAGGTTGCAGAGGAAAATGAGATCCAAGTCTAAGATCATGACAGAATTTATAGGCCGTTATGTATTATAAGAAACATTCACACATGCCATGAAAACGTTGCAAGATTTACTGCTGGGACGTGACAAAGGGCAGAGCCAGCCCTACTATTAGAGAGAGTGAGGAGGCTGATACAAGTAGCAGATTTTCCATTTTTTTTTTCAAAGGACAGCCAATTGTTGGTTGATTTCTTTATTATTATTGTAAATTTATGGCTGGAGACAGAGAAAGGAGCTTGTCAGAATTTTCTATCTCATGTGCCAAAGGAACGTGTCTGGCTTTGAGTAAGATCCAGTTTGATTTAACTGGTGAAGGGTGCCATTTGGTTCTTTGTCTCAAGAAAAAACACGTCTTGGGCTGGCCCTGCCAAAGAGGCCCAAATAGCACATGCTAAATTAGGGGTTTCAAACATGCAGCCTGGGGGGCATTTGCAGCCTGCCGGATGATAGTTTGTGGCTCCTGCCTTGCCTGTCCCCCTTGAAGTGCCCATGCGTCCTATGCTGTCAAGAGTCAAAGAAAGCCTCACCTCGCTCGCTGGCTCTCTCCCAAGACAGTGCCTCTCGCACCCTCCATCCGGAAATGCAGCCTGCCAGCCAGCCTGCCTGAGTGTGCCTTTTTTTGAGGGTGCCCCTCAGAGGAAGGTTGCTGGACCTCCATGTATGTGTCTCTGTGTGTGCGTGCGCAGCTGTGGGGAGCCTGCTCCGTTCTATTTAATTTCATGGGTACAAGTGGGGGCTTTTCTCCTTTGGCAAGGCAATTCTGTGAGGCTTTTTTTAAAAAAATTATTTCATGCATAGGCGGTCGCTGGTGCTCCCTTCCTTCTCCGTTTCTTCATCCTGCTGCTGCTGCTGGTGTTGGTGAAGAAGGAGCTGGAGGGAGTTGTGGCTGGCGATGAGGGCTCTCGCACCCCTCCTCCTCCTCCTCCTCGGAGCTCCAGCCAGGCTAAGGAAACACCTGGGCAGCTTCCTCAGGCTCTTGCTGTGCTTGGCGGAAAACCTGATGTGACCCAGCCTCTCCCAGACTCTGCCAATAACGGCCCCCAGCTAAATTGAGTTTGAGACCCCTCTGCTAAAGGAAATCCACCCTGCGATTATTTGCATACTATGCATGCACTCTACCACTGAGCTAGAGTTGTTCTACCATAAACTGAAAGGTAAAACAAGCCCCCAGCCCCACAGGCAGTCCTGGTCTGGGGCTGGAGTACACCACCTCTAAGCAAGAAGTACATATTCACTTTAGTCTTGGTTATGTGTGAAGATGAATAGATAATACCATGTTAAACCAACCACACATGGCCATCTCTAAAACAAATCTGTAGCTAGCTTGATTCATGTCCATCACCTCAAACAGTTGTGAGAAAATTTATGTTACTTTTTTGTTATGCTATCAGTATTCTTTCAAATGCACAGTGCATCTGGTATTAGAAAGTAACAACCTTTGGGACTCCACAACCCTTACATTGATGCCTCCCTGCCCTTACTTGTTTCTCCAAGTACTAAGTTCCAATGGGCATAATGTGGCTTGTTGCACCATTTTGATTTCCCTGCAGTTCTCATGAAGCTATGCCATTTTGTTGTGGGAGAACAAAATGACTGCAACAATCTGGCTGAAATCCTATTGCTTACTGCACTAAGTTGCGCCACTGAATCAGTGCTACTTAGGGAGGAACTGACTCACTAAATCCCCACTGATTCAATGAGCTACTGTACTCCAGTTATAACTTACTATGCTAAGTAGCAAGATTTCAGTCAATGTCCAAAGAAAGTCAAGAAAGAAAAGGCTGTTTCTAGGAAGCTGTCATTTAATAAGAAAGGGGAGAGGGGGGAGAGGCATGTGCTGCAGTTGACTATAAATTCCTTCATGAATCTTGGAGGAGAATGTAGAACAAGGTTTAGAGTAAACATTCAGTCAATATGTGTAGTCATTGTTACCTCACAAATGTAATTCCATCATACATGCATTTGCAGATACATTCATTGTACATTATAGATATTTATCCTATAAAGTTTCTTCAGTGTCCATTGTAATACATGAAATGACTCTCAGATGGAGATGTGGAATCTTGACAATGCACATGGTAGATCTTAAGTGTGTGAGGTTTCTTCAGAGTCTTGGAATGCTTATTAAATCTCGTTTGCCTAATCAGTATCACAGCAATCACCAAATCTTATTAGTACCAAAGTTGTTGTTTTTCTCTTTACAGCATGCCTTCACTTCTCAATGCTGCTGTCATTCCAAAGAAAGCAGATTAGCTCGTGACTTTAATTAATCTTTATTAAATTTGGGAAATGACTTACCATTTCGGTCAATGGGTGGGTACTGAAAATTTCTCCTCATCTCTTCTAGAGAAAGGCCTTGAGAAGGGGGTTGCCCGGTGCTGCAAAAATAACATTGTATATAGTACTGTTTTATCAACTGAGTTTTTGCTCTCCAAAAAGCCATGTACTATCTATCAAAAGAAACCATTTTTTTTCCAGCAGAAAACATGGACATTGGAAGAAATCAGGGATACACACAGAGAAACCATATCAGGCAAAAAATAAACGTTTTATATATAAGAATAAAGAAGACAGAAACATTGTGGCACATTAGCAGTTAGCCTTTGAGGTGCCACAATGTTTCTGTCTTCTTTATTTTTTTTTATTTTGCTTTTGCATGATATGCTTGCACAGACTAACTGGGGGTACTTATTCTAAAACTACAAACACTGAGAAACAGAACTTATTTTTGGATTAACTTCTTTTAATTTTGAGCTTTGCCCGACAAATTCTGGTAGTTCAATATAAGTAACAACCCTAAATGACAAAACCTGTCCTATAAATATTTGATATGTACCTCTTGTATCAGGTTCGTGCATGCTAATTTGTTTGTGAAAGAGAACATCGTCATTCTGCAGTGAATCCCAGTGTTGCTTACTAGAAATATTTTCCTTTATTGAAAAAGCTGACCATGTAAAGACTCCCTTTGGCAGCTCTTCTAGGATGATGGGCAAAGAGATACTAAACACGCCTAGTGAATGGGAAAGACCCAACTCAAAGCACACATTTACAGCCAGAGGATTCCTAAAAATATGACTCTTCTATTTCATGGTAAGATATGCTGTCATTTGAAGCAGTTTTGTAGAAGAACTCTTTCAAGGAAATGTTGTAAAGTTGTGGCTGAAAGGACCAACTCAAGATTTATTTCCAGCAATGTGTCTTCCATGGTGATTTTGATCAGGGAAATTTCTAACTAATGGCAGGTAAGAATTCTGAATCTTGGTTTCATTGTGTCTCTAACCCACAATCTGTCACCTCACAGTGCGAACTGAAGTTTTGCTCTCAAATTTACAGGAATAGTTACTTTCCTGTAAGCAAATTCCACTGAAACACATGAAATTTACTAAGACGTTAATATATCTGAGTAGCCTGAACAATTTTGCATGGCTTTTATTTTACCTTTTCATTTCTGCAGATTCAAGTATTACTCATTTAACCTTGTTATAATGTGTCTGCTTTTCTTAAATGATTTTATTGTACAAAGATAGTGATATTCTGCATTTAATAGCCAACCCTGTACAAGTTCCATCTGCTTGGAATAACATATTAGGTTGCTTTTATTATATTTTTAAATTTTCATCCATGTATTTATTTATCATTGAACAATATATTCATAACACATAAAGTGCTTTGCAATACTATGATTAAGAGAGAACTATACTAGTGTCGGTACTGAGAATTAAAGAATGGATTAATAACTACTTGCTGTCATGTACACACAGTATTACTTGGGCTCTGATCTCAAGTGCTACTGTGGATGAGTTCAGTGTGCTTTTAATAGTATTTCTTTCTTTTTGAACAGTAGACCTCAATAGACTTCCAAAAAATGACTTGACACACTGTATAGAAGACTGCTTTTCTGAGCAGCATGTCCTAATTTTCCTCACAGCCACATGGCTCAGTGGTTAAATTGTAGTATTACAGTCAAAACTGATCATGGTCAGTGTTTAATCCCAGCAGATTCTGGCAGCCAGCTCAAGGTCCACCTATCCTTCCATTATTCCGAGGTTGGTAAAATGAGTACGTACTGTAGCTCATGGGGGGGGGGGGATGTGTATCCTACATAATTATATTGTAAACCACTCAGAGAGTGCTGTAAGCACTATAGGGTGGTATATAAGCAACTCACACATTAAGCAGTATACACTTAGGCATAACTACTGCGTTTCCCCGAAAATAAGACAGGGTCTTATATCAATTTTTGCTCCAAAAACACAGTAGGGCTTATTTTCAGGGAATGTTTTATTTTTTTTTCATGTATATCAATCTACATTTATTCAAATGCAGTCATGCCATCTTCTTCTGGTTGCTACACAGTGGTGGAGGGGGGGGTTTCACTTAACTGGGGCTTATTTTTGGGGTAGGGCTTATATTACGAGCATCCTGAAAAATCATACTAGGGCTTATTTTCAGGTTACGTCTTATTTTCGAGGAAACAGGGTAGTCAGACAGTGCTTTAGTTTCCACAATCGTATCTGATATTATTATTAGTAGTATTTAAGTTGGATTCTGCTTTTTATACCTCTGATCTGCCCCCCTCCTCTGGGTAATGCTGCTTCAGGTTACCACTTTATTATATATATGGTGCATTTTTTCTTTTTGGTTTGCCACCATGGTATCTTAGGATACATAAAAAACACATCTACAAATTCTGAGCAAAAAAATCTCTTAACTAGCAAATTACATATGGCAACAAACATTGGAAAGGATGTTGTGAAAAAAGCAATTATTCTTCATGCCATGATTGTTCAGATCCGTAATTCTGTCTTTACTATCAGTTCCTTTAAAAAATCCTAAAAACTGGTACCCACAAAGCATGATATGACATAGAAGTGCTTAAATCCAACTGTAAGTCCCAGCTACAGCAGATCTACTGAATCACATTCAGAACGGAAAAGGAACTCTAAAGAAATACTGTTGATTCAGTCAGTCTACTCTAGTTGGGACTCCAATTGGATTTCAGTCAAGATGTTTCTCATCAGCGCAATGGACATCCTGAACCTTCAGTCTGTCCTAGTAGCGTAAGAAATTCATATTGTTAGTGTTGCAGGATCTCCACCAAATTGCAATGGTTCATTCATTTATTTGCCTAATTCAATCTGTTCACTCATTTATGCAGTTTAGAGGAGCCACACTTTGTCTCTGTCAATAACCCTGTCCTATATTTCCCGAAATGAAAACAAATGGATAGCTGGGAAAGTATGCTATTGCTTAGGCAACAAAATCTAATGAGGGTCAAGGTCAAATGAAAAATTCACCACCAGTGCAGCATTAATAATGGTAAAAACAGTTGTCACACAAAATACATTGCCTTAGAAAATATTCTGTAAGTTCCAAGGTATGCTACTGTTGTGCAAAGGTATCCTTTAGCAACTCCATTTGATCTCCCAGCTCGGAATGCTTATTAACGAGGAAAATCCAAAATCTACTTTAGACTGAAAACTTTATTGAGAGCGCAGGTATATTGGGATCAGGTGATAGTATTCACACATGATGGGGCAGTAGAATAACATACCAACTCCTTTATCAATAGAAATGAAGCCTCTGTGCATTTTTCCTGACAGTTCTGAGTAACAGCTGGCTTTTACATTTTTAAAATGGAACCTCATACTCGTCTGCCTTTATTGCTCACAGCAGTTCTATGGGTAGCTCAAGGTTTAACCTGGAAATTATTACAATGCATACTTTGACCTCACATGTATGTTTGCAGAAACCTCTGTCCACTTTCCATCTTAAGACTGATCATGCAGACACCACGACTTCAGTGCTGGAAATCTTCTCCATGGTCTTCCCCTGTCAGCTTATTTTTTTGTAATGTTATGCCTGAAGAAGAGCTCTGGCAGTGTGAAAAGCTTGCACAACTTGGGATGATCTTCTGGTTTGCCTCCAAAAGGCATTAATATGGATTTGAGAATATGAGGATTGCTCGTTTATTACATCATTGGTTACATTTACTGTATATCCTACATTTCCTCCAATGAACCCATAGAACATCTCTCCTCCCCTATTTTATGCTCACAACAGCTCTGTGAGTTGGTCAGCATGTGAGAGAATGAGAGTGTCTCAGTGCATTTCATGGTTGAGTGGAAATTGGACCTCAACAGATGGGAGACTTTGACATCTGAGTGTTCAACCTGGAGGCAGGCGGTGCATCACGGCCTCTCCCAATTTGAAGAGATTCTTGTCCAGCAGGCTGAGGCAAAGAGGCAGTCCCGAAACCAGCAAAATCCGGGAGCTGGACAGGGGACAGATTGTATTTGTCTTCAGTGTGGAAGGGATTGTCACTCTCGAATTGGCCTCCTCAGCCACACTAGACACTGTTACAAGACCTCTATTTAGTGCATGTTACCATAGTCTCTTGAGACTGAAGGATGCCTACTAATTAATTAACACTGCTCTTGTAGGTCAGCATGCCTTCCTTTACTTTCTGTATGCTCAACAGGAAGATTTAAAAGGTTACTGGTTAAAATGTATGCCCTTGGCTACATCTATATTTTCCAGTTTCATCTATGATATCAGAACAAGCATATAGATGTTGTTACATTATGTGCTGTTAAGTCAGAAAAGACTTAAAGCAATCCTAATAGGGTTGTCAAAGTAAGTGAAATATTTTAAGGGTGGTTTCACCAGTTCCATGGCCCCTCTCCTGGTAATGGTCCATGGCCAACTAGGGATTTGAATCTAGGCCTCCTGAGTCCTAGCCCATCACTCTGTCCACTACACCACATGGGTATCAAGCAAAGATAGGCAGATGTCTAGCCCATCACTCTGTCCACTACACCACACGGGTATCAAGCAAAGATAGGCAGATGTTAAATAAAAACAAAACAAATTACTTCTGTTGTTTCATCCACCCTTAAATTGGTTATCTAAACTTATTTGGCATGTGTCCTGAATATGGCGGAGGGTCAACAAAATAAACTAGGAAGAAAACAAAAGCCTGATTCCAACTCAACCCATCAATCAAAAGTTAGTGTTGATCCGAGGTGTTCCAGCATGTAGAAGCATCCATTTCTGCACAGTAATCAACTTTCCTAGTGAAGTTGTTCACTTTTGTTCAGTTCACTATACCAGGAGTCACTTCACAGTAATGGCATCCAAGGAGATACATGCACGTAATCTGTTCAGAATACTGTACTTTTGAAAATAGAAGACAGAAAACTGGAATGTGCTCAGGACTAAGGGCATCATATTGGCCTCTCTTGCAATTTTAATGTGGACATCCATTCTCTGGATGCATTCCAACTAATTAAGCCAAAAATGAAAAAAAAAAAGAACAAGAAAAGGATGATTGGTTTGCGATCCTGTTGGCATTTGCATGGCATTATCTAAGAGACTG